GCAATTTCTTCCCTCCATCTCTTCAATCAATCTAACAGGCTTCTTGATAACTCGTTTAGGCATCTCAAGAATGGTGTCAGGTTGACTAGATGACCCCTGATTAGATTGCTCCACCTCATCCCCAGAGTTAGAATGAGTAGGAGTAATCTCAGGTTCAGGAGTACCCGGCACTGGAACATCAGCATCATCATCAATATATTGTACCCGAGGTAAATCAGCAATGGTAGACTGATGTACCTCAAGTACCCCATCTGTCTGTAATAAATTGTCTCCTTCCCTTCTCAAATCTGAAATCTCTGCATTTTTAATTGAATACATGGTGTTTTCATCGAAAGTAACATCCCTACTAAGAATGACCCGACCCTCCGAAGGTGAAAAAATTCTAAACCCCTTCACACCATCCCCGTACCCAACAAAACACCCCTTCTTGGCTCGTGGATCCAGCTTACCCTCAATAACATGATAATAAGCAACACAACCAAAAATCTTCAAATTCGAAAAATTAGGCAACTTACCACTCCAGATCTCAAACGGAATTTTGGAATCAATTCCAGAATGAGGACCCCTATTAATGACATAACAAGCTGTTAACACAGCTTCACTCCAGTACCTCCTCCCAAGCCCTGCATTAGAGAGCATGCATCGGACTCTCTCTAGCAGTGTCTGATTAACCCGTTCTGCTACACCGTTCTGCTGTGGTGTCTTCCTGACAGTATGATGCCGACCTATACCCTCATCTGCACAGAACTGATTAAACTCGTCTTTGCAAAACTCTAGCCCATTGTCCGTTCGTAGCTTCTTGATCTTCCTTCCTTGTCGATTTTCCACCAAAGCTTTCCATTGCTTGAAAACTTTGAAGGCCTCATCCTTTGACTTAAGCAACCTAAGCCATGTGTATCGGGACTTGTCATCAACAAATGACACAAAATAGTGGTAACCTCCCATACCTTCAACTCTAGATGGACCCCAGCAATCTGAATGGATGTAATCGAGCACTGCATCAGTAATGTGAGCACCCTTGCTGAACTTTGACCTGTGTTTCTTACCAAACACACAATGCTCACAAAATTCAAGGTTGGCAACCTTGACCCCGGATAGAAGACCCCTCTTGGACAATAGCTGCATCCCCTTCTCCCCCATATGACCAAGCCTCATGTGCCAAATCTTAGTCATCTCCTGGTGAGATACAGATGCGCAAACCGCAGAACTAGGCAGTGTAACACCCTCAAAAACATAGAGGGTGTTCCTTTTGATACCCTTAAGTACCAACTCAGAACCTCTGAAAATACACAACTCCCCATCTGAAAACACACCATTGTACCCCAATTCATCCAGGGTACCCAATGAAATCAGATTCTTTCCTAAAGCAGGAACATGCCGTACATTAGTCAAAGTTAACCTCCGCCCATCAACAGTCCTCAACCTCATGGAACCAATACCTGTGACCTTACATGGAGCATTGTTACCGACTATAACCATGCCCCCATTGCGAGGTTCATATGTATCAAACCAATCTCGACGTGGACACATATGGAACGAACACCCTGAATCTAGAACCCAGTTATCAGATAAATCATCAGACCTAGCAGAACTGACTAATGCTAAATCTTCCTCTGAATTATAGCTCTCATTCGGTTTCTCTTCAACTACAGCAGCCTGGGACTTGTTTTTCCTCACCGGACAATTATTCCTAAAGTGACCCGGTTCTTTACAGTAATAACATGTTTTAGTAGTAGTTTTACTAGATCCATCCTTGCCGTTTCCAGCACCCGACCCAGCATTGTTCCCCTTGTTAAACCCCTTATTCTTTTTAGACTTTCCGGACTTAACAAACAACCCACTACCATTATCCCCATTATCACTCGTAGCTTTCATTCTGAGTTCCCTAGTATGAAGTGCTGCCTTCACTTCTTCTAAGGTTATAGAATCCTTACCAACAACAAAAGACTCTACAAAATTCTCAAAGCTAGACGGTAGAGATACAAGTAAAATCAACGCAGCATCCTCATCATCAATTTTAACATCTAAATTACGTAAATCAAGCAAAATAGAGTTAAGTTTTTCTAGATGTTCCCGTAAGGAAGTACCTGACTGCATCCGGAGGCTAAACAACCGCTGTTTCAGTAATAATTTGTTGGTCAACGACTTAGTCATATACAATGACTCCAGCTTCAGCCACAATCCAGCCGCCGTTTCCTGATCAGCCACCTCCGTGATGATTTGATCATCAAGACTAAGTAATATGGTAGAGTGTGCCTTCTCTTCCATAACTTCTAACTGCGAGTCAGTCGGTCCGTCTCCTGACTCCGAAGTAGTACTCTTTGGAGCCAACGGACGCCATATCTGCTGTTGTTTTAACAGAGCCTTCATCTTAATTTGCCATAGCCCGAAACTATTTTTCCCGGTAAACTTCTCAATTCTTATTGTTGAATCTCCTGCCATTGTTATCTTCAAGAAACTCTCCAAGGATTGAACCTGAGCTCTTGATACCAATTGTTGTGCGACAGCGGAAGCAAAGGTCGAAAACAAACAAGAAAACAATAAAGAAATTCAATGCAAACAATAAGAACAACACCAAGAATTTACGTGGTTCACTATCGATGTGATAGCTACGTCCACGGGCACCGAGATCGAATGATTTCACTATAAACTGCAAAGATTACAAAGATGATTCTTGTATTTCTCAAGAACGGCTCTCACTCTGTCTCTCTTAACCCTAATACTGATATTAGGGAGGTTTTATATTAATCCCTAATTAAAAGATACTTGGGCAAAAAGATAATAAAATAAGATAACCTAAAACCGCAAAATCCGCGTTCCGTATTTTTCCTTCTCCGCCCGGTCAGACCGGGCAAGGTCTGCCCGATCGGGCGCGAGAAGAAAACTCCATACGAATGCTTCAACGTATCCAACCCCCACCGCCCGGTCAGACCGGGCAAGGTCTGCCCGATCGGGCGAAGGCTCGCCCGGTCGGGCGAAGGCTCGCCCGGTCGGGCGCGAGAGCAGCTTCTTCAACGAATTTGCCAGGCACCTCTTCTTCTTCCGCCCGGTCAGACCGGGCAATGTCCGCCCGATCGGGCGGACAAAGCTACGAAGTACGAGTCACCTAATATACTTATCAACAATTATAATAAAAAATAGAAATTTGGAAAGAAAAATAGGCGGGAATTTTTTTAACCACATAATAACATATGTCATTTAAGATTCGCCTTTAGTATAAGTTATTGATTGATGTTGATATTGACATTTACTTTATAAGAATTTTTTTGTATAAAAATTTTATTTATTAAAGTGATATTAGTCTATACATTTTCCTTTCTTTTGAATTTTATTTTTTCCAAATTTAGATTTGTTTTAATATAAAAAAAGGTAGATTTGTTTTAATAGCTAATGAAATACCATGTACATATCTTGATTTATTTATTAAATAAAAAAGGTATTATTAGAATCTTCCATAAAAATTATAATCTAAGATACAATAATATTTAGTAACAATATTATAATAAAAAATAGAAATTTGGAAAGAAAAATAGGCGGAATTTTTTTAACCACATAATAACATATGTCATTTAAGATTCGCCTTTAGTATAGGTTATTGATGATGTCTATTGTAGTATTGTGTAATAGTTCATACACAATGCTTAAGAAAAAAATATACCTATAGGTGGTGGGTAGAATAAAAAATTTGTTATTTTGGCTCGATAAATTGATGAGTGCGAGCGTAAGGAAGGGGTCATATGAAAAAAAAAAAATTCATATATGATATTTGGTAGACCGCTACTACGAATAAATTAATCTATTTCTCCAATACAAAGTCTTATTTTTAAACACTATTATTACCATAAGTTTATTTGTATTCCGACATTTTTTTTTTGGAAAACTCGCATAGATAGATCATTAGTCAATTTAAAAGAGTCTATTACCCTATAATACGCATTGAATTTAATTTGTTCATACTCCATGTGTTATTATTCGACTAGATTAACATAATAATTTGTAATATGTGCATCGCACGGGCACTATAATAGTAAATAAATATTTGAGAGTAAAGATACATGCATATCATATATTCTAAGAATTAAATATTATTTTTTTTAAAAAAAATGAAATAAATATTATATCTATTGGCATCAACACACTAAACTATGGATTGGTTACACTCAACACCCTATACTTTTGCTTAGTGGCCAAAACGCCACAAACTAATGACTTGGGTGCAAATCGCACCTTTAGTGAGTTTTCCGGCCACCATTCTCACCGGAGCAGGTGATTTAAATTTTTATATTAGATTTGCATGTCGAGAAATGTCTTGCAAAGGTTTCGGGGGTCATTTTGATCTTTAAATGACCTAAATTGAGCTCGAAACAAGCAAAAAAATAGCGTACATGATTCATTTAGCGTCTTATAAAATACCTCGATTTGCGTGCCTTTATCTTTTAAGCCGAATTAAGTCATTTACGTTATTTTTTTGCTTGTTTCAAGCTCAATTTAGATCCTTAAGAATAAAAATTACCCCCGAAACCTTTACGAGACATTTTTCGGAATGCAAATCGAAAAATAAAAATTTAATTCAACCGGCTATGAAGTATTTCATTTAGTGCCAAATCTCGATTCCCAAATTGTTTTTTCTTAACATAACACATACGAATAAGTGAGTGCAAATTTTTTATTTTTTATTTTTTTTGGTGGTAAGGAAAAGGGCTCTATTGGGCTAGGACCTCTTAAGCTCTCACAAGTCCTCCTGGCCCGAGTTAGTGGTTTAGGCATTTTGAGAGAGATGGGGAGGGGGGAGGGGGTGTAAGGGAATCGCCACCCAAAATTGCTTCTAGTGGGGTTTGATCCCATAACTCATACACACACAAAAAAAAAAAAAACACATACCTGCAACAGCGTATATACTCGTATACCTTTGAACCTATAAATAGAGTAGCATGAAATGCATTCTCCAGCACCACAACATTGATCCAATACAGCATAAACATAGTCATCCAATAGTGAATATGTCGCCAAAAACAGCCACTCTCTCCTTGGCCCTCCTCGCACTCACTCTCACTCAAACACTATCCTTCGCGCATGCCCTCTGCCCGGGCTTTGCTTCAATCCCTGAGATCTTGAACCAGTATGAATTACCACCCTCGCTTTTCCCGGATGATGTGCAGAGCTACAACTGCCATAGTTTACCCAACGACTCCCTCAGTTTAACGATTAACTTGAAGGGTGCTTGTACCGTGACAAAGGCTTTAGGCCCTGTAAAAAATATACTCGAGTGCCAACCAACGATTTCGGCCACCATATCTACTGGAAAACTCAGCGACGTTAAGGGAGTCACTGTCCAACTCTATGTTGAAGTTCTCCCTGGGATTGTTGTCCCATTTGGTCCGCTCATGACCATAACCGGTGCCATACGTGTTTTCGATGAACAATACAACTTAACTTGTTTAAAGTTTACTTCAAACGAAGGTGATAGTCCATGCTTTCCTTACTCTTCGTTCCCTAAGGATCCCACCAAATGTGATATCTCTGCTGCCAACACCAACCAAGATATTCCTCTTCTTCTCGCTTAATATGGTATTTATCGTTTCTATTTTATATCCTTTATCTATGCTTTGGTTTGAATAATTCTGCTTACATGTAAGCAGCCCCTCCAACATTGTAACATACGCTGTACTTGTTGATGTATCATCTTGTGATCGTTAATCAACTACTTTAATGAGTGCTATCTATATATGTTTATCAAATATGTTTTTACATCAAACTGTCTTAGCTTGCCAAACTAACTAACTTCATTCATTAACTCATAAATGATAATGAATACACACTCTATTATGATGTCAATTACCAAATAAACTTGATAAGGTAGTGCTACTAAGATTTTTTATGTTTGTTGTGGTTTTTAAAGAAAAAAAAAAGTTTTAAATGGTAATTGTTCTCAAAATTCATCATTTATAGGATAGCTCATTGCATGAAATTTTCTCTGTGGAGGTGGATGCACAATGCTCGGTGCATCTGGTTTTCTTTAAAAAAAGGCGGAATGAACATTTAGTTGTTCAGTAAAGAACATATAATTGTTTTGTAAAGAACATATAGCTATTTTATAAAGAACATCCAGTTTTATATGTTTTTTTTTTGTAAATCTGAAAAACATTCGTAATATTAGTAAAGACCATGATAATATTAAAGAACATTATTCATATAGTAAATGTACATTTGATATAAATGATCATTTATGTATATGAAAAAGTACATTTTACTATATTATAATGTACATTGTATTATATTCTAATGAATATATATGTTATAATGTTGGTTACATGTTTAATGTACATTGTATTATTTGGACCATGTAAGTATATGAAAAAGAACATTTTACTGTATTTTAATGTACATTGTATTGTTTGGATCTACAAATTTTTCTAAATTTGTCTATTTGCTGGCTTTCTTCTTCCAAAATGTATTAATCGATCGATCTTCTTCAAGAACTTCATTTTATATCTCATTGCAACAACAAAATTACATCAAAATCGCAATTAATTCCCAATAAAATCAAATATTACAATTTTCAATCAAATTTATAAAAAACAAACAATCAAACTCAAAATAAACAAGTATAAATGTCAAATAAACAAGTAAGTATGAATGTCGAATTTGGTCTTACCTTTCGTTTTTATTTGTCATTTTTAACAATTTTGGACTCAAAATTTCGAATTTCTTGAAATTTTGCTTGAGGTTTGAGAAATTTTAATGAGTTTGAAGTTTTGTTTGGAAGGAGAAAGTGAACTTTTGGTAAAAAGAAAATAAATGATTTGTAATTCACTACTAGAAATAGGCGAAATTACGACGGAATACTTACGACGGACATGTTTTTTCGTCGTTAAGGTGGATATTTTCGATGGAAAACATTTCGTCGCAATTTAGCGACGGAAAATTTTAATTACGATGTATTTTCCCTCGTAAATTTTCCGACGAAAATAAATTCCGTCGTAATAATAATCTTCCGATGGAATATTCCGTTGTAAAGTGATTTGCGACGGAATATTTCGTCAGAAGATTATTATTACGACGGAATTTATTTCCATCGGAAGTTCATTGTTATTTTTGAAAATTAAAATTGTTTCCTTGACCTAAAAAAAAGGGGGAAAGAAACGCAGAGAGAGAAAGAGAAGCAGCGGGAGGAGAGAGAGAAGGAGAAGGAGAGAGAAAAAAGTCGCGGCGGCGCTAAAACATTACGCCGGCGACGCATGCAGTCGACGCACACCAACCGCCGGAGAACGAAAGAGAAAAAGAAGGGTGAAAGAAAGAGAGAGGAGAAAGAGAACGAGAAAGAGAAAGCTAAGGAGGAAGGGAGAGATGTCGAGGAAGAAACAACCGCCCTGGTGGTTTCCGGCGACGCTGCCGCGTCTAGGTAAGTGTGTGCAATTGGTCAATATTTTTTTTTAATTTTGCAAAAAAACCACCACCGGCTAACATTTAACCACCACAACGCAGCCTATGCGCCGCACCTCCGTCCCCTAGTCGTGACTGAACCACCTGGCCGTGGTTGTTTCCGGCGACGCCACACCTCCGTCCCCTGAAAATTCAGTAAGTTGCCTTTGCTTTCCCCCTTTTTTTCAATTTAATTTTGTTTACTTATAAACCCTTAATTATTTTATTTTAATTTTGTTGTAGGATTTGTACAATTTTGGTTGTTTAATTGTTAAAAAGAAGTGCAGATCTAAAGGTTAGTTACATTACAAACCCTAATATAATGTATGTGTGTATCTTACTTTGGTTGTTAGATAGTGTGTTGGATTATAATTAGAATGTATTCAATAACTTTTAGTTTGGTTAATTTAGTGACATTGGTCATCTCTTATAAGTAATTAATTGCTCCCTTCTCTTTAAAAAAACAATATAATGTTAGTTTGGTTTAGTTTAATTTAACATAATGTAGTTTAGTTAAGTTTATGTTAATATAATGTGTTTTAGTTTAATTTATTTTAATATAAAGTATCTTAATTTAGTTTAGTTTTTTTTAGAAATATGTTAGTTTAATTTAATATATAAAACGGTAGTTTGGTTTGGTTTAGTTTAATATGATATATTAGTTTACTTTGGTTTGGTTTGATTTGTTTCTCTTGTTTAGTTTAATCTTGATATATTTGTTTAATATTATGTATGTTATTTAAGTACATATATTTTAAAAAAAATTATTTGCATAATAATATACCTAGATACCCGTTCAAGGCATACACATTAGGAGTATGTCTTGAATAGTCCCCGCTTGGGACTGTCCTTGTACGTTTATTCTCACTTAGGTGGTGAATGTATTCCTTTGTTTTAATTCTAAGGAAGATCCTTGCTTGTCATTTCTCTACAATGTTCTCTAGGTACATATATAGGTGTTTCTAATCACCTATATTGTGTACTTGGGGAACTGTAGGGAGATGCTGCCGGATTTTCCATAGAATTGAAATTCTGGCATACATTCACTAGTGAGATTGAACGTACAAGGATGGGTTAGGTTGGAGTGATAAGGACCCTTGGAAATCATTTCTCTTCTCATTTGCATTTCCATAACAGTTTGATCTATAATGAATATATATTGTGCTTTATGACTAATGTGATTAATGGCATATGTGTTAGTTGTGTAGAACTTGTAATCATGAAACGAAAAGAACGTAGCTGGATGTACGAAAGGAAGGTGGGGAATTCTATTAATCCTGAGTTCTTGAAGGGGGTAGATGAATTCCTTAAATATGTGGAAGATCATCCCGAGAGCAGCAACCCGAATGAAGTTAGGTGTCCATGTTTTAAATGCAAAAACAAACGTCTTTGGGATCCAGATACAGTCAAACTTCATTTGTATCACATCGATTTTTTACCTAATTACTATGAGTGGATGTGTCATGGGGAAGGGTTTCCAGGAACTCCTAGAAGGCAGTCAAATGAATATCGTGAAATGGTTTTGGATGCCTTTGGTCAGTCTCAAGATCAAGGCCATTCCGAAGAGCCACCTGTTTCATTAGAGGAGGAGCCTAATGCACAAGCCAAGCCATTTTTTGATTTGTTAAGGGCTTCTGAACAACCGTTATACGAAGGGAGTTCATTGTCTGTGTTAGAGATGGCTTCTAGAATCACTAGCCTAAAGTGTGAGTATAATTTGCCGCACAGATGTGTTGATGGATTTGCTTCTTTGGTTAATGAAGCGATTCCTAACAACAACCACATGGCCGAGACATTCTATGAGGTCAAGAAAATTGTTAAGGGGTTAGAGCTGCCCCATGAAAAGATTCATGCATGCCCGAAAGAACGAGTCCATTTGCTTGAAAACTTAGAAAATAGGCATGGTTTTAGCCATATAGCCCAAATTTGGATGATTTTGGATGGGTTAGGGTCGATAATTGATATATGTGCTTATTTTTCTTTATTTCTATCCTTATGCACCTAAAAGTATGTGATATTGGAATGTTAGAAGAAAGAAACCTTACCTTATATTGTTGGTTGTTTTTTTAACAATATTTTTTATTATCTTCAATATTTTGTAAGAGACCTACCAGAAGAAGCTCGAAGAAACAAGGAGTCAGAGGATTCAGAAGAGTCCCAATGAGTTGTACTGGGATACGGTGGGTGGGCGCAATAAGAAGGGGCGTGTGAAGGGACTTGGCCAAGGTATAGAGCTCTACTATGGCAAACAGATGGGTCGAGGTTCCCGTTCTTCACAGCAATACACGCCGTCTGTCATTTCTCAAATGCAAGACCAGATGGAACACAGGGTGCAAGCTCTCCAAACTCAAATGGAAGCCGAGATGGAAAGGCGAATTGACTCCCGAATGGCTGAAATGGAGAGGAGATACAAGGAGAGTATGGATGAGATGATGAGTCGTTTGACCAACAACGACTCATGTTCCACCATTCATCCTCAGCATCGAGACCCAAGGAACGACCCGGGTAGTGGTGGAGCAGGCCAGGGTTTCCAGGCGATTGCGTAGCTTAGCTTTAGTCTAGCATAGAATCACTCTAACCTAGCTTTTGTTTGGTATAGATACCAAAATGTGGACTATCTTTTGTACTAGGACATAATTATTATATATATATGTACATAAATATAATTTCGTAGGTCGGTAATTAATTTTTTTAAAACAACAATTTCAGGACTCAATATTTAGTTTTTTTTTTTGTCGATTTATCATTAAAAAAATTCAGGTTTGAAAATGCAGAAAATTACAGAAATTTATTTTGAGCTGGAACTATAATTTACGACGGAAAAAGCGTCGCAACCTATAATTTACGACGGAATTTTCTGTCGTAATTTATAATTTGCGACGGAAAATTCTGTCGGAAATATATAGGTTGCGACGGAATTTTCTGTCGCAAACTCTAATTTACGACGGAAAATTCCGTCGCAACTTATAAATTTCCGACAGAATTTTTCGTCGCAAATTATAGGTTGCGACGCTATTTCCGTCGTAATATATAGTTTGCGAGTTTTTTTCCGTCGTAAATTATAAATTACGACAGAAAATTCCGTCATAAATTAAAGGTTGCGACGGATCTGTTTCCGTCGGAAGCTTGCGACGATCTTCAA